CTCAACTCCGCTTCACCCCCCCCCTCCCCCGGTCCTCTCCCGCCGCGGGACCTGCACTGCCCAGGGGCCAGACTCCTGCACGCCTGGTGCCTCCTTCCACCGTGGAGTCGGGACCCTGGGATCCCTACCTGCTACAGGACCTGGGCACCGGGGGTCTCACCCATGGCAGGGCCAAGCACCGGACGCCCGGTTCTCCGTCGCAGGGTTCCCAGCCTTCTTATGCTGAGGGCCGGCAAGCGACCGCGGACCGGCAAACTGCGGACCAACCCCAACCCTTGTTTCTACTCCGCATAGGGAAGGGTTGGCTGCCAGTCTGCAGGATCCCCGTCACTTCCAGTCCCCAGTTTGCCGGTCCGCAGTCACTTCTGGTCCGGCAGCCAGCCCGTCCCATCCTAGCACCGGGCTGTGGACCCGGGGTTGGGAACCCCTGCTGTATCTGCTATGAGATCTGGACACCTGGGTTCTCTTCCCATGGCGGGTCCGGGCACCTGGATACTTGGGTCCTCTGTCTGCTGTGGGTTCTGCACTGCCATGCCATCCGGGCACCCGGATTTTCTACCTGCTACGGGATCTGGCCCCCGGACACCCGGGCTCCCCACCCTCAGTGGGGTCCAGGCACCCGGACACCTGGGTTCTCTACCTGCTATGGGATCCGGACACCTGGGTTCTCTACTTGCTATGGGATCTGGACACCTGGATGTGCGGGTTCTCCACCCACAGCAGGGTCCAGGCACCCGATGCCTGTGATCTCTACCTGCTACGGGATCTGGACCCCGGACACCTGGGTTCTCCAGGCCCCTGGGCCCCCCACACCCCACCCAGCCCCGGCTCAGCGGACGAGCACGTTGATCTCGGCCACGCTGGCTTCCAGCACGTTCTCAGCCGTAGTCTTGCCATGCTGCTCCTTGAGGTGGCGGCGGATGGCGGGTTTGTGAGCGAAGCGCACATCGCAGTAGGAGCAGCGGTAGGGCCGCAGGCCGCTGTGCAGGTTGAGGTGGTCGTGCAGCGTGGACTTCTGTGTGAAGCTCTTGCCGCAGACACCGCACGAGTGGGACTTGACGCCACGGTGCACGTTCATGTGCCGGTTGAGGTTGCTGCTGTGGTTGAACTGCTTCCCGCAGCGCGGGCACATGAAGACAAAGTGCTGGGCCCGCATGTGGAACACCAGCTTCTCCACCCCTTGGAAGGCCTCGCCACACTTGGCACAGCGCGCCGGCCCCCCGCCCGCACCCCCGGCCCCA